GGGTGTGAGGGCCGGGCACCCGTTCAGTGCCATGAATGGGGGTGTGAGGGCCGGGCTCGATTTCAGTGCCATGAATCGGGGTGTGAGGGCCGGGCATCCCTCCAGCACCATGACCCGGGGTATGAGGGCCGGGCACCCCTTCAGTGCTATGACCCGGGATGTGAGGGCCGGGCACCTCTTCACAATCCTTAAATCAGCTACGACCTATTGCAATCACCCCAATACCCAGCCTAATCTGTGAAAGTTTTGTGTTTGACTGGGCTTATGCTGATATTGCAGGAGTCGTAGACCCTCAGCAATTTGGCAACATGAAAACTTCCTCCACCACTCACTGTCTTGTCAGCTTTCTCGATTACATATACCGCCATCTCGAGAAACGAAAAACGTCTGTAGCTGTCGCCTTCATTGATTTCACTAAAGCGTTCGACCTAGTCGACCACAATATAATCATAAACAAAGCTATTGACCTCGGGCTTCGGAGAAGTCTCATACCATGGCTTACAGACTTCCTCAGTGGCCGACGCCAAGCTGTACGCTTCCGAGGGGCTGTCTCCACCTTTCAGTCACTCACCTGTGGCGTCCCCCAAGGCACCAAGATGGGACCACTCTGCTTCCTTATGCTCATCAATGATGCCCTAAGAGAAGCCCTGCTCGCTGGAAATATGTCGACGACTCCACCATTGGGATCAGCGTCAACAATTCCGCTCCCAACTATACCGCCCTTCAGGATTTATTGAACAGTCTCCAAAACTGGGCCACCAACAACCATGTCACCATCAACCATACCAAGACAATGGTTATGCACATCAACCTCTCCTCCGACATTGTCCCACCTCCTTCCATTACCCTAGGTCCGAACACACTCCAGGTTGTAGATTCCACGAAGCTCCTCGGCGTCACCATAGACAACAAACTAAATTGGAAACCACACGTCAGTGAAGTTGTCAAATCCTCCAGTTTCCGTCTCCACCTCCTCCGCCGACTCAAGTCCCTCGGAGTTCCCGCACACGAGCTCCTCAGTGTATACACAACATTCATACTTCCCAAGCTCACCTATGCCTCCCCCACCTGGTCTTCCTCCCTAAATGCCACACAACGTAAACACCTAGAAAAAGTGCAAAAGAGGGCATGCAAGATTATTCTCTCCCCTTCCTACTCCACATATCAAGAAGCGCTCAACACACTGACCCTTTCGACTCTCACTGACCATCACCACGGCCTCATCTGCAAATTTGGTAAGAAGCTTCTACACCATCCCCGACACCAGCCCCTACTACCACCTGAGATCCCCTGTCCGAGAATTGCTGTTCGACACCACAACCGCATCCAGCCCATACGTGCACGAACTGATCGCTATAAGAACAGCCCAGTCCCAACCATTGTAAAAATTATCAATAACATGTAATAAATCAGTGTATTCACTCCCAGTAAACACTGCTCCCTACACTGTCACTATGTTGAAATGAACTGTATTTTGAGCTGATCCCCATCTAAGTTACTATATGTCTTATTTGTGTCACTTATGTCACTTGTATATTATTTGTAATTCGTAACCCATTCCCCAAATATGTAACTGTATATTTTCAGCCTTCTGGCTGTTTTTCAATAAACCCACACACACACACACACATTTCTCCTCCTAACACAACACCTCCAGTAACTACAAACCTTGCATTGAATTTTCCTCTTAAGTGGAGATAAAAACAGCACACATGTCAGGTTTACTCAGGATATAGTACACGAATACATACCTTCCAATGACATCAAATTAACACCCCTTGAGTCGTTATCTTTACGTTCACTTGACACTAGTGAATGTGATCTCTGTGGCACCACCGAGAAGATGCCACAGAAATCACGAGTGCCACAGAACCTATGCCAAGGTACCTACAGTATGTTACTGCCTCAGATTTATAGAGTAATATCTGCTGTTATAACTCTCGAGGCAGATGGGTCTATCTCTCTCTATCTCTCTGTTTCATTTCAACACCGTGACACATCTCTTCCGTTGTCTCTCTTACATTTTTCTAGTTTACAAAATATTTACAAACTTTGCGAAATACTTAAATACTTTAGGAATTTTCCACGTGGTTACTTTAATACTTATGTTTAATTAAGTTTGCTATGAGTTTCTTCAACCTTTTTATTTATTAATATTTTTAATGACCTGTGATTTCATTTGTGCTGAACTTTCGTAGTTTAGAAAATGCTTTAAGTCTGTTACTATAATGGCTGTGTTTATTTAAGTTTTCCTGAGTTTTATTGTATTTTCCTTGAGATTTCAGTTCTGACAGTATGTAAAATTGACTCACTTACGCTTTTATGTAATTCGATTTTTTTAATTAGATGAGCGTAAGTTTATGTAAGTTACAGCGTGTAGCAGGTAAGGCCCGGTTTAAAGAGCATAGAACGATGGTTTAAATTTCATCATCGTTTTGTAAATTATAGAAAACGGAACAATAAGGTGATAAGATGATTATAGGAAGGTGGAATGTGGAGAGGTTAGCATGTGGAGAGGAGTAGAGATGAGAAGATGTGGAGAGGAGTAGAGATAGAGCAATATAGAATTAGATATAGAGAAGAGTAGAGATAGAGCAATAGAGAAGTAGAAGAGTAGATGTTTTAAGTGGTTATATATATTCTCAAGAAAACTTTACCGTCAACAGAAATCAAACTCACTAGATAAGTTACCACATTCTTGAAAAAAAAACATCCCGTGTCTTAGTCATCCTATCATCAAGAATAATCAAGTGTTCGCCAATAAAATAAAACAAAAATAAGAACATAAGAACATAAGAATGGAGGAAACTGCAGCTGGCCTATTGGCCCATACTGGGCAGTCCCGTTTACACCCAACCCCTATTGCTCATATAAGCATCCAACCTATGTTTGAAGCTATTCAGCGTATTCGAGTTAATGATGATATTTGGTAACTTGTTCCATTCATCCACCACTCTGTTTCCAAACCAGTGTTTACCTATTTCACTCCTAAATCTAAATTTGTCCAATTTAAAACCATTGTTACGAGTTCGCTCCTGGTTGGATAATTTGAGTACCTTTGTAAGGTCCCCTTTGTTTAGCCCTGCCTTCCACTTATACACCTCGCTCTACGTCTCTCAAGGGAGTGCAGATTAAGATGCTTTAACCTGTCTCTATACTCAAGGTTCCTAATGCCCGGGATTAGTCTTGTCATTCTCCTCTGAATTCTTTCCAGGGATTCTATATCCATTCTGTAATACGGTGACCAGAACTGAACTGCATAATCCAGGTGTGGTCTCACAAGAGCAAGATACAGTTTTAGGATGACCTCGCTAGTCTTGTAACTAACACTCCTTTGTATGAACCCAAGTACATTATTAGCCTTGTTACGAGCAAAAACACATTGTTTACTTGGCTTAAGGTTCCTACTTATCATTACCCCTAAATCTCTCTCGCAGTCGGATTTCTCTATGGCATCGTTGTTCATCTGGTATCTGGTTTCCCTGTTTACATTTCCTATACTGAGTACTTTACATTTGTCGATGTTGAATGTCATCTGCCATTTTTCAGACCATTCGAAAAATTTGTTTAGATCCTCCTGTAGTTTTGCCGAGTCCTCGTCAGATTTGATAACACGTCCTATTTTAGTATCATCAGCAAATTTACGTATGTTGCTGTCTATGCCGATATCTATGTCGTTTATGTATATAATAAACAATAATGGTCCAAGTACTGAGCCTTGGGGAACTCCACTTGTGACGTTGCTCCAATGGGACTTAGTGCCGTTAATGCTCACTCGCTGTTTTCTGTCCTGTAACCACGCCCTAATCCATTTAAGGATGCCACCTTTGATGCCATGAGCTTCTACCTTTCTAATTAGTCTTTCGTGGGGGACTCTGTCGAAGGCTTTGCTAAAGTCGAGATATACCACATCATAATTGTGCCCTCGTCCACTGATTCAAAAACTGATGAAAAGAATGTTAATAGATTAGTTAGGCAAGAACGTCCGCCAGGCCATGCTGGGAATCATTGATCAATCGGTGCTTTCTCCAGGATTTCTCAGAATAGAGTTTGAAATGATTGCTTCCAGTAATTGTTTTACTATTGACTAAAATTAAAAAAGAAAAATAGTCTAAAGTTAAAAATAAAGTGAAAAATGAAAGAAAATGAGAATAGTTAAAATAAATGAAAAATGAAAGAAAATTAGAATAGTTAAAATCAAGGAAAAATGAAGAAAATTAGAATAGTTAGGTAAATAA